ATTGTATTACTCACGAAAATAAGTGTATCAGTTATGATTTATTGAAACTTTTTAATAAAATAATGTTACTTTTAAAATGATTTAACATATTTAGAGGTTGTCATAAAGAAGCTTGTTGGAAGAGGGTTGGCTGTATATCATTATGTTATCAAATTAATTTGTCAAGGGTTTTGCCAATTCATCATATATTTCGTCAATTAGTCATATATTTCGTCAATTCGTCATAGTTTTTGTCAATCGTCAGTGGTTTCGTCAATCATCAAGGTTTCGCCATGACGAAACCATAACGAAACCATTCGTCATCGCAAAAATAATTTCATCAGATATCATTATCAGCGATACAATTAAGTTATTGTTGAATGATTAGCGTATACCTTAACATAATTTTTCTGGGCATTTCAGGTTAAAAACCTGTATAACTTGCGGTCATAATTTTGCAACTCTGTGGTTTTTTTTTTATTTGTAGACAAAGAACTAATGATAATAATAAAAAAAAAATCATGATTTTTTCAACTTAAATTTGTTAGTCAAGATACAGTATAACTTTATGAATATGCAAATTCAGGTTTATACCATGCTATTATAGTTATTTATTTTTATTTTTTCACTGCCATATATGCCATAACATATATAAAGTTAGCGCTATTGTATTACATACCGAGCAGATTCGATGCAAAAATTCATGCTTTTACCGCATTTAGCATTTTGCCAAATCAGTTGTAGGATATCACGGATATAAAAATTGTCATAGCATCAATACACAATATTTTACCTGTACAGAAATCCAAATCTAAATATCAAGCGAAATTTCTTTAATACTACGAATTGTCATGTGATTTTATAATAGCCAATTAGTTTAATGATTTTACACTTTCTACAAACCGATAAATTATTTGTTCGGTTGGTTTAATTCAAAAGTCAATAAAGAAAAACAATCATTAAAAAAACTATTTTTTTACACGCACTTAAATCGAGATAAAAATCCATCAAGAAATAAAGATACAAGTTAGTACTGTACATTTAAATGGTTAAATGAATCTCAAAGAATTTCTAAATAAAGTATATGTGAGCATATCGTGATGTTTAAGTACATAAATTCACGTTTTTACTGCATTTAATGCATTATCCAATTAGTTCTGAGATTTTGCGGATGTACGCCATTAAAAATGTCTCAGTAACCATATACTTCGTAATATTACATATCACTCCGTTCCTGGTATATTAAATATTAGATTGGTAAGATTCTATGTAAAAATTAGTAAATATATCTATTTCAAAATCTAAATCTGGTCATCATAGGTAGGGTTATCTAGGTAGTAATATTTATGAATATAGTTTTTCTTTATAATTTATAATTACTATATTTGATTTAACTAGTGTTGGCAAATAGAACGATAGAACAAAAGCTCAATTTTTTGTCTTTTATATAAAAAATATTTTTTTTATTAATAATTTGCAATTATTTAAATATATATTGTTAGAACATTAATAAAGTAATAAATTTAAAATATTTTTATATTTAATTTAATACTCAAAATTTATAATAAAAAAATAAAAAAAATGAATAGAATTATAAGCCAATAGAAAAAACATATAAATGTGACAACACTGGATTTAACTAATATATTCAAATATAAATAATTAATAATCTATATAATTTAGCACATGTGCGTTTTAATGCACTCCTGATTAATATATGATCAGGTATAATGTTACACAATTAGGAAATTTAAAACAAGTGTTCGTTTTGCCAAAAATCATTTATAACTCAAAATTTCGCATATGCAACTACCTTTTGGGTTCTAATAAAAAAAATTCTTGCAAGGTTTTACTATAAAGTCTATCTTTTATATCAACCCTAATTACATAAACAATCATTGTTTTGATTTTATATTATACCTGATCTTATGGGGTGCGTTAAAACGCACCTGCGTAAAATGATTAAATTCATAATTGTATAACTAACATTTACCTACAATCTAATCTAACCATACATTAAGTGCCAACCCTTACTCTAAATTAACGCGCTGTTGGTTTATTTTAATTTCACATTATACCGGATACGTTACAACGCACCCGTGCTAAATGATTAAAATTCAATAATTAATTTATTTTTTAAATATTTTAGAAATTCAATATTATTTTTTAAAATGAGTTCTAGTGAAGAAAATCTTAGTGTATTTTTTTATTCTTATTTTTTTATTAATTTACATTTTTTTAGTTTTGCCACAGTTTCGCAAATTTTGTCAGTTTCACCAGTTTTGCCACCTTTTGATATTTCACCATTTTAATTTTTTTTGGCGAAAGTCAAAACTAGGTTTCGCCTTTCGTCTGTGGTGAAACCACTAAGTTTCACCTGCCAACACTAGTATTATACATGATAAAAGTGTACGCCAATAATACAAATATATACTGTAACCTTTATAAATACTGTCAGACCTCTCTAAACGCACTCACTATAAGTGCACACTCTTCTAAATGTGCGTTTAAATTCTAGCCCAAATATATTCTTGATCTCTATAATGCATGGTGACAAGGGTCAACAGATCGAAAAAACAGGGAGCATTGGGCAGGAGACATACGGCACGTACTCGACTCGGCCCGGTTACTCGCGTCAAAGATCGATCGGCAAATGAAATCAACGTCAGATCAGATCCCACGCAAATTGGTAGACACATGACACATGCCCAAGTTGGCCCAGTTACACACATAAAGAATCGATCAGTAAACGAAGTCAATGATAAATCATAAATTCATACAAAACCGAAAAAGCCACCAAAGCGACAAATATAAAATGGTCTTTGGGAAAAAGCCAATTCGATACTCTCTTTCTCACAAGAACCCAATTTATTTAACTTGCATTTTCTCAAATAAATTTCTTCAATATTTTCTTTCTCAAATAATCATCTCGAAGTAATAATAATAAATAAAAAAAAAAATATATATATATATATATATATATATATAAAATAATAATACAAACGATAAACAATAACACATAGTAATGCATATAATAAATAATTAATTATAAAGAAACTGTAGCAGTAGTACGTACAATTCCTTAAACCTGATTATAAGCCAAACTGGGCCTGAGTCACATGATTTCACGAAAGCGAAAAACACATCTCAACATGCGACAACCACACCTGCTTCCAGCAGCACAACTGTGGGCCTTGGATGTCAAAAGTTGGATGTTAGCATCGATCCAATATAAAATTATATATTGATGAGTCAATCCAAGCATCGACCTCCTCAGTTTTTAACTCCATCAAGCAGTACATCGACTCTCAGTTCGACAGACAAAGATCATGGAATAAGCAACTTCAATCAAACATCAACAACATGCTGGCCAAACTGATGAAACTAGACAACAGCCACAGCACTATACCTCATGCATCCACTTCGACTAGCCATGCAGCATTATCACAGCACCCACATCATCCGAAATACACAACACAACCATATACAATGGAGCAAACAAACCAGGAAAGTCGAACTACGGGTAATTACCCTCCAACCCCAACATTGAATAATCTAATCATGGCAATTTCGAGAGTGAGTCTGCAACAACAAAGCCTTGTAGCAACAGCAAATCAGACACTACCAGCATCAGCAGCTATGAATCTGCCTGTGTTAAAATCAGCATTAAGGAAATACCCATCAATTGATTATGCACAGTTCAATCAAATGCACGAAATTCAAAGTTTTTCAAACCCGTATGCCGCAAGAACTGAGAGTATACGAATTTGGTGGGTTACCAACTGGCAAGAGGGCAAACAAATCATTGAAAGCCTCCTGCACAAGCCCAATATTTCAGCCAAGCTGTGGAAGTTGATTGCATTTGGCTCTTACGTAAACTTACAGGAGTTTTCATACAAAAACCTCCTAATCACCATGAAGGAAACTAAGAACGAACCTGTGTTGCAATCAACAAAAGGGGGCTCTATTTTAATTATAAAGTGCTCACGCCACACAGCATTCCTGGATATATCCGAATGGCTTCTTGCTTTTAAGTCATATATGGACGCAGTATTAATAATTTATAAGAACCGGGAACAAGAGAAAATGGTTACAGAGATCACATCAATGAGCTATGCCTACTGCAAAGCTTTTATGCAGTCATGGCATATGATGAAGACCGAAGAGTAATAGCTGTCACAAACCATGATTCAACTCTTCTTGATCATGACACTGAAGTTGAAGGTCAGAATTTTGATGCTACTACAGTCAAAAAACAAAGAATAAATACATACCGGCCCACAAGATTAGATACTGAATAGCCTGATAGAAGGGAAATCTGCATTAATTGGAACAAACGGTCTTGCAAAGACAAGAAACTCTGCAGAATGGTCCATGCGTATTTAATATGTAGAAGAACAAATCATAGCGAACAATGCTGCTTCAAGAAAAACAACTTAAAAAAGTATAACCCACCTGATAGTGGATTAGCAGAGAAAAGTGCATAGCAATGAAAATTTGCTAATATCTTCTACAGAGCTATACACAAAAAAAAAAAACTTAGTTATACAGGCATGCTGTTATAGCACAAAGCAGTGGGCTTTGTAATATAGACTTGAACAATGTGACCATATTGGTATACCCATAGAACAATAACAATTTTAATGAAACAAACAAACAAAAGAAAAAAAAAAAAAAAAGTAAGCACACATCACAGAACACTGATTAACAAATTCAAGCTTAGACATTCAATATATGCATAGCGACAACATATATACATACAAATAAATAAAAAAAAAAAAAAAAAAAAAAGGTGGATCACAGAACAGATGTTTGGCAATTCAGCTCTATCATGTCAGACTCACTTTTGATGAAATGTACAGTCACTTCACAAACAAGTCTAACTTCCTTATATTGCTTTAGCCACAGAGCTTCATATTAGGCATCTATTGCAATTTAAACTTGCTAATGGCATTACTTTGCATGAGCCACCCAGTCTTAAATCAGCCAACAACACATTAACAGCAATTCTGCTACACAACAAGCCTTTGTCTTCCATTGAATACAAGATCCTGGGGCAACTCGATCCTAAAGTTTTCAACATCTCTACACCAATCAATATAGATGCATTTATACTCCTGACAGCCAGTCACCCTAATTAACCAATCATCTCTTATTTAGTAGATAGACTTAAAAATGGATTTCGATTTAACTTTAAAGGACAAAGAACAACTATTATTCAAGAAAATTTAAGCTCAATAGAGTTCGATCCAAATTCGTTCTCTAAATATATACAGGATAAAATAACACAAGGTCGTATGTGTGGTCCTTTTTCTCCACACCAGCCCCCTTGCCAACTCTTTCAGGTAAACCCTTGTGGCCTGGTAGAAAAGAAAGATACCAACCCAAAGGTATATCGAGTAATTTCGCATCTATCAGCCCCCTTTGGTGCTAACGTCAATGATGGGATTGATCAAGTTGAATTTAGCACACAGTATAAAAATGTTAGTTATGCAATCTGATGAATTCAAAGGGTGCTATCTATCAAAGATCGATATAAGGGATATATACAAAATTATTCCAGTTCACCCTGTTGACCAAGTGCTACAAGGGATAAGCCATGACAATCAGTTATACTTTGATAAAGCACTGGCATTTGGCAACCGAGCATCTGGTGGCATATTTTGCAGGTTTGCTAATATGCTAACATGGATCACAGTACAACAAGGTGTATAGTCAATTATCCACTACGTGGATGACTTTTTGATTATATCAAAAACAAATAGACATCGTGAGCTAAATCAGTTCCTCTGTATTCTTAATATTTTGAACATTTCACACAAGCCATCCAAGCTTGAAGGGCCCAGCACCTTTATTACATTTTTTGGTATCCGCTCGATACTCAAACTTTTTCAGCCACATTACTTGTAACCAAAAAACAGAAAATTATTGCCCTGTTAGAGCAATAGACAGGCAAACAATCATGCTTTTGGAAAGAGCTTCAGTCTCTAATTGGCTCACTCATCCCACAGGAACGACCCTTTATACAATGGTTTATTAAAGCCCTCAATACAGCACAAGAGCCAAAGTCTCACATTAAAATTAATAGTCCTATGAATTCAGATATTCACTAGTGGATTACAACACTCCCTGCATGGTCTGGCACACACCTCATGGAAGACCAGGTCTGGTTAAGACCAGATACGCAAAACTTATTCACTGATGTATCCAATCTAGGTGGCAGTGCAATGTTTCAATCATACTTTACAACCTTTAATTGGGCCCAAGGTCTAGACCTGTCTCTACATAATATTCAGGAGCGGGAACTGCTAACTACGCTAATTGCTATACTAACTTTCTCACCTATCTGGATGCAAAAATGGTTCATCATATAGACTGACAATCAGGCCCTGTATACAATGGCTACTGTAGACAGACAGAAATCAACAACATTATTGCACAGATCTATCAAGCACAAATACAAGGCAGTTTTTCAATCAAATTCGAATATATCCCAGGCAAAGCAAATTCACAGGCAGACTTACTCTCACGAAACAGACACAGAGAGTTCTTAAATTATAACCCTACTGCATGTTACCTGCAACTTAGTTTGTACTATTCCATCCTTAATCCAATAGAATATTATAACCTTGTAAGCAATAAGGCAGATATACAGGCTCTGACTCTTCCACTCGACCAGCAAGCAGCATTGATACTAGGACTAGACAGAAAAATGAACAAAATATACAAACCAGCTGTAAAACAGTACGAAGCACTAGCAATCAACAACCATTGGACCAATTTTCAAGGAAACATTTGGCCGATTGCCAAAGAGCACCTCATGAAATTTATCACTCACATGCACGACAAAGTTGCACCCCTGACTCTTTTGTCATATCTATCAGCTTTGAAACACCACCATAAAATGAACCACCTTAACTGGAATGAAATACGCAATGACCCACTAGTCAATCAGCTGCTAAAGACTATTAACCAAAACCATGTCCACAAGCCCGTCAAGCAAAAATCTCACATTACAAGACATCATCTACGAACCCTAAAGGCCAACTTAAATTTTAACAACCCAGATGACAAATTGTTTTGGGCTATAGCTCTATCAGCCTTTTATAGCCTGGCCCATTTGAGAGAGCTTCTTCCCACAACACGACAAGACATCGACAAGGTTTCAAGCCTTTGTGCACTGACATTCGAGAAAGTCGGCCATCACACATATGCCACCATCCAATTAGCACGCACCAAAGTTCATAAATCAGCCACACGCACATCCCTGACCATTAACCTGACATATGATGATCTGTGCCTAATAGATGCACTAAAAACCTATATTGTACAAAGAACAAACCCCACAGTAATACACAAAAATAAATTACTGTTTACAAAGGCGGATGGATCATGGGCAACAAAACGGCATTTCATTGATAGACTCAAACAATTGTTACCATCAGAGAGCTGGGAGCACAACTGAGCTCGTCATGCACGGAGTCCAGCTCATACAAATCCAGAAAATCGGCAGATGGAGTTCAGATGCTTTCTACAGATACATTCGAACCCACCCGGCCACAATAGCTGCAATACTGATAAAAGCATATTGCGATTGAGCCGCCCTCACAAACCTTATTGTTGGAACCTCGGCCAACCCAATCACGTTAGATAAGAATAGCAAACAAAGGAATGCATCCACACACGCCGCATATACATACACATTTAAAAAAAAAAAAAACAACGAAATGAATAAATGCTCACACATGTACCCACATAGTAAATATGAATAAATAAGCTTTCTAATCAAAAAATAAATAAACAAAAAAAATAAAATAAAATAAAATAAAAAGAAAATGAAATAAAATAAGAATAATAAAATAATAAGCGAACAAACCTCTCGAGTCAGTTGCCTCCAACGTGATAGCACATGACCACGACATATACATACTTTAGCTCAGGCAAAGCCATCCCAGCAACCTATGAGACACACATGACATAAATCGCAACTAACAACATACACAGGCCTCAATACAAAAAACGCCTGGCACAATAGGAAGCAGCAGAATCCCAACTCCTAATTGTTGGAACAGTCTCCTGATTCTGCCATTTTCTTATTTAACAGCCGGCCTGCTTCGAACAGGCAGAAAACTACCAGCTGATGCTGCTTCTCACTCGCTCTACTGTTACGATGATACCTGGCACAATCTCACTTGCTAATCTTAAAATTACTAATTACTTAAAATTACCAATTCAATGTACTAGATAGCTGCGTGACGTCATCGTGCAAAACCAGAAAAGGAACTTAACTAACTACTCAATATTTGCTTAAATGCAAGAAAATAATTTTCCCTTTAAAAATTTAGATTGTATATAAATATAAAGTTTTTATACTTGCTGTATATCTTCAAATATAAGCAACCGCAATTTTACACATTTTTCGAGTTGAAAATGAAGAGTTTGCCTATATTCAGAAATAATTTTACTAGCAAACATAACCTTTGCCAAATTTTCAGTTTAAAATC